TCGAAGTAGGGATTAGATTCTCCAGGCTTGGACTCGCAGCTGCCCTACCTCGCAGGGCTGTTGTGAGGATAGAGCGGGGAGAATGGGAATCGTGGGCGCTGCCTTGGAGTTAGGATTATCTCCAAGATCATTTTCATGTGGGCTATCGTCAAGGGACAGAAGAGCTGAAAGTATTTTGTGGGAAGGGCCAGCCCTGATGCCCATGGGTGCCTGCCTTCTCCCCTTCGGCTCTCATTCTTCATTTCTCATTTCCTTCCCCTCTACCATGACAAACGGCTCAGAAGACAGGATGTCCCATGAGAGAAAAGGCTGGTGAAAGCCTTTCCTTTTTTTCAAAAAATAAGTTTTATGATTATGATTATTACTATTATTTTCTACGAGCTACAAAACTAAAAAAAACTAAAACCGTCAGTCATCAGAGACATCAGAACTGCTGGGTCAGCCCCCCCCCCGCATTTTTTTTATAGCAACCCATAGACATATTCAAATCTGCGCATAGTCCCGTTTCTCTAGCCAATAATAAAAAGAGTCCCAGGTTTGACAGAAGTATGTATCCTCTTTCTGCTTCAGAGACAAAGTCAGCCTGTCCATTTCAGCCCAGTCCAGGATCTTTTTAAAAAGCAGTTCAGCAGAAGGTGGTTCTTCACTCCTCCTATGCTGGGCAAATACAATCCTTGCCGCAGTAATTACTACATGTAAATCAAATGCGGTGCCTGTTTGTCAACATCATCAGACACAATGCCTAATAAAAAGACTTCAGGTTTAAATATTAAAGATTTTTGTAACATTTCCTCAAGCCATTTATGTAGTTTAGCCCAATATTTTTTTGCCTTATGACAAGTCCACCACATGGGATAAAAAGTATCAGGTTAATGTTTGCCTTTCCAGGGAAAGCCTTCGGGCCGCAATTCTCGGCAGTGGCCACAGGAGGGCACTCCAGGCGCGCCACTGATGTCTACAACGGGGCTCTCGGGCGCAGGAGGCCGCAATTCTCGGCAGTGGCCACAGGAGGGCACTCCAGGCGCGCCGCTGACGCCTCCGTTGCTGAGCGTAGAGCCACACCGGGATCCCCGGCTGCACGAAGCCCACCCCACGCACGGGCCGGACGCTGCGGCCGCCCCCCGCCCCCCCGCTTTTGGGAAATTCGGGGACGGAGCCCCTTCGCCCCTCCTGGGACACGGGCTGGCGCTGGGGCTGGCTCTGAGCTTGCCGCGGATCTTTGTGGATGCCGCAATCCAATCCGGCTCTTCCCTTTCGCGGCTCTAGACACGCGCCTGCGCGGAGACAGGCCACTCCCAACATGCCCGAAGTGACGATCCAGACGGCATCTTGTTCGTAGCTTACAACAGGAAGTGTAGCCCTCCGCCATTTTAGTATGGCCGTCCTTGCAGAGGTATTCCATCGATGTACAAAGAGGAAGCGGTGCTGCTCCTGCCGTGTACACCTGACCCCAGGACGTTTTCTCCTACTCGGCGTCTCCTCGAAGTAGGGATTTGATTTTCTAGGCTTGGCCTCGGAGTTAACTCTAACCCAACCCTACTACACGGGTAAAGTTCCATTGAAAAGAGGGAGATTTTGAAAAAGACTTCCTTGAGTAGGTTTTTCTGCGCAGCTCATCATTTCTGCCCATTCTGAACAGATCCCAACTATCAGAATCATGCCAGGACACTTGGTTTTCCTAACCCTAACCCTACCCTGGTGCACACCCCTAACCCTAATATAGGGGTAAAGTTCCATTGAAAAGAGGGCAATTTTCAAAAAGCCTTCCTTGGGTACGTATTTCTGTGTAGCTCATCTTTTCTGCCCCTTCCAAACACATTCCAACCATCAGAATCACGCCAGTACACCTCGTTTTCCTATCCCTTACCCTACCCTGGTGCACACCCCTGCCCTAATATATGGGTAAAGTTCCATTGAACAGAGGGCCATTTTGAAAAAGCCTTCCTTGAGTAGCTTTTTATGTGCAGCTCATCATTCCTGCCCATTCTAAACACATCCCAACTATCAGAATCTTGCTAGGACACCTGGTTTTCCTAACCACAACCGCTAATATAGGGGTAAACTTCTATTGAACAGAGGGCAATTTTGAAAAAGACTTTCTTGAGTAGGTTTTTCTGTGCACCTCATCTCTTCTGCCCATTCTAAACACATCCCAACCGTCAGACTAAACCCAGGATGCCTCGTTTTCCTAACCCTAACCCTACCCTGGTGCACATCTCTGACCCTATTATAAGGGTAAAGTTCCATTGAAAAGAGGGCAATTTTGAAAAAGCCTTCCTTGAGTAGCTTTTCCTGTGCAGCTCATCATTTCTGCCCATTCTAAACACGTTCCAACCATCCAAATCATGCCAGGACACCTCGTTTTCCTAAACCTAACCCTACCCTGGTGCACACCCCTAACCCTAATATAGGGGTAAAGTTCCATTGAAAAGAGGGCAATTTTGAAATGGCCTTCCTTGAGTAGGTTTTTCTGTGCAGCTCATCTCTTCTGCCCATTCTAAACACATCCCAACTATCAGAATCATGCCAGGACACCTGGTTTTCCTAACCCTAACCCTACCCTAGTGCACACCCCTAACCCTATTATGGGGGTAAAGATCCATTGAACAGAGGGCCATTTTGAAAAAGCCTTCCTTGAGTAGCTTTTCCTGCGCAGCTCATCATTCCTGCCCATTCGAAACACATCCCAGCTATCAGAATCTTGCTAGGACACCTTGTTTTCCTAACCACAACTGCTAATATAGGGGTAAACTTCCATTGAACAGAGGGCAATTTTGAAAAGGCCTTCCTTGAGTAGGTTTTTCTGCACAGCTCAACTTTTCTGCCTATTGTAAACACATCCCAACCGTCAGAATCATGCCAGGATGCCTCGTTTTCCTAATCCTACCCTGGTGCACACCCCTACCCTATTATAGGGGTAACATTCCTTTTAAAAGAGGGCAATTTTGAAAAAGCCTTCCTTGGGTAGGTATTTCCGCGTAGCTCATTTTTTCTGCCCCTTCCGTATTCTCTGCTGGAGATGGGGAGGGGCAGACCAATTCACGCAAAGCAAGTGTCTAATGTGCTGCTGCCAAAGACCTTGGCAGCAGAATTGTTTCTGCAGATGCAGCCCGTGTGAGCAGGATACCCCGACACCTCCCTTAAACCTTTCCTGTTGACATTTCCGATGCAGCACCCTTTTATGAGTGACGGGTGGGGATAGGTTCCCTGATGCACCTGCTGAAGCTGCCGTCACTCCTTCCGTGCACCATGTCCCAGGTGGTAGGAGGCCACCCCTCCAAATACAGAAACAGCAGTGCCAGAATCCTCTAGATTGCTTTGGGCGCAGCCCACACATGTGCGGGCAGGAAGAGGGCCTACAACACCCACGGTTCCGCAGCGGGCTGGGGAATCACGTGTGGCTCAACATGCGTAGGCTTCCACCGTGATTCATTTTCCTCACCTTTCGTGATCCTGCTCCACCGCTGTCCAGCCTGCGATTTCGAGCCATCTGTGCTGATGACTACTAGACAATACTAACCACCCTTCTTACGTTTTGACCTTTCAGGGAGATGCTGGCAGTCCCATCATGCGTGAGGCCGACGCCAGGAAGAAGCTGCATGGGACCGTGAGGCGCTAGCTGTGCTGAGAAGGAGAAACCCACAGTCTAAACGGGGGTCCCATGGGTCGAATCGCACCTGAATGCAGCCCACGACAGGACCCAGAACCCTCCTAGATGAATGCGGGGACTTCCTTTGCAGCATGCTGGCATTCTTTCGTTGAAAGTTCACAGGCGAGCACAGAATGGAGTGGTCTTTCACATGAAAGTACCAACTTTCAGTCATTGGCAGTACAGCAGAAGGTTGCATAGGCATAATTTTGGGGCAAAGGGCCCCATGCTAGCCTCATTGAAATTAGCATGGAAAATTTCAAATGAGAAACATTTGGCTTTTAAGGAAAATAGATTATACTGGAAGGTATCCTCATCTCTACATTGGTGTAAGTATAGCTTCACGGGAACACCCTAGATTCATGAGATTAGAGTGCCTTATTTTAATATAACCTATCAATGGATCTATTTCAACAGCAATCACCTACACTGGAATTCAGACCCTCTCTTTGGTTCCCCAGGTCCTGTCTTAAGTCTTCCTGTCATTTTCTTGACCCTGTGCAGAATAGACCCTGTGTAGATGTTTTTTTACAAGGTGATTAAAGGACCCCACGGGTGCTTCATGGCAGGGGTGAGCAAAAGGCAGAGAGCCTCGTGCAGGGACCTTCTTTTGCCCCCTCTGCTGAACTGGGCAGGCTTGTGTAGCGCACAGCAGAGACCGGAGACCTAAACCGGGCTCACCGATTCCGCCTCTTTAGCAGAAGCTTGTAAACCAGTCCTGTGAAGTGGTGAGGAGGTTGCTGGGAATCTGACAGAATGGGCCGCTTGGGCAGCTTGGTTTGTTTTCCCCCTCCTGTCGTGCCCCCACACCCCGTTTCTGCCCATGTCCGCCTGTATCTGTGGGGCTGGGGGCTGCCATGGCAGGTTTGCCTCCTGAATCAAAGGTCAGATCTAACACGGAAGAGTGACTGAGATGGGGAAATTTGTCAGTGCTGAGAAATGGAAATGCACCTTATGCTGAGTGATTGTTTACCTTCTTTGTTTTACCATGGTACATCTGTCCAGCATACTTTTTTGTGGCATATGCTATGTTGGAAAGGACTTCCTGAAATCTTTGTTAGGCAGGTGTAACTCCGGTATAAATCTGCTACTACCATTAATGTGTAGTAGATGTAGTAGTTTAATGGCCGTCGAGGAAAGAACATAAACTTTACAATCGGGCGAGACAAGGGTACCTTCTGAGTCCCCTGGTCTATGCTTTGGCTTCGATCTTGTGCCATGTTCAGCTAGGAATGTCAGAGGACGCTCGTGACAGACAAGGATGCAGCATTGCATTTCCAAACTTGCTAGCCTTTGTCTTTCCAGTCTCAATTTTTCTTACCTAAAAACCCTTTAAAGTAGTAATATAATGTACTCTTAGTTTGGTTAATTTTCTCTTGGTCTTTCCAGAAAGAGTTTAATTTTGGAAACTGCCAAGTATCCCCTACCCTGCCACAAACACCACATTCCTACTCTCACGCCTGTCAGTTCTGAAGCTAGCCTGTAGTCCCCCTAGGGAAGAATTTAATTCCCACTGATGCAACTAAAAGCAAAAGGATTATCAGCAGTATATTTATTTTTAATAGAAATAAAGGAACAGATTAATTTAAGCTTAATTAAACTGGTATACTAGGCGATGTTCCCTCAAGTGGGGAAAAGCATCAGAGATACAAAATTCAGGTGCAGCTCTCCTGGCAGCCACTGTACACAGTGCTGATGGATGCTATCGGGCACCCTCTGCAAGGGCCATGCTCAACGTTCCAATCAGCGAAACATTCATGATGGCTCACTGCCTTCCACAAAGCCACTCTTGCTCAAGATGCAGACAAAAAGCAGCCAGAACATGAACAAGGGGACTAACAAAGGCTTAATTCAGGGTGGTACTGGCTGAGTACTTGAGAAAAAATAAGCACAAGCTGGTGCGGCGATACAGCATGATGCAGGGGGCTGGGAATGCAGTGGAACCGCATGAAGAGGGTGGATCTGTGCTGGACACGGCTGGCCCACCACTGGGCATGGAAGCTCTCCAAAGCAATCATGAAGCACCCAGTAAAAGGTGCTACTTTCCATAAAACTTCTTGTTCAACAGAAAAATGAGAAGATTAACATTAACTTTTGCACGGTCAAACAACTTCATGACAGCCACACCTTCATACTGCAGCTGCAACAGATCCTGTAAAGAGAAAGAGAGTGTCTGAATTCTGAATCAGAGATTGGGAGACAACAGTATCTATTTGGCATGCTTCCCACAAATGGGAAGCACCCGTGACAGTTTGAGGTGAGTCCAGGGTACAATCCTGTGCTTTTGTGCTACCTGGAACAAAACACTCTTTTCACAGAAGGTGGAGGCTGAGATACAAGCACTCTGACCTAGAAATTAAGCGTCAGGCAGATGTGAGGCTGAATCCTCCAAACACAAATTCACTCTTTTGAACTCACTATTTTCTGCTGCAATGGGACATTCACCAGAGAGAAGGAAACTCTGACGTTTGAAAAGCCAATAAACCAGAATCCAGGGACCCCAGTTAACTTGACCCTGGCACAAACTTGATGCCCTTAGAGCTAAGCTGGCTCTGATTTCCATCGCCAAAATAAGCCATTTTTTAAACTGTAAGGAAATGTATGCAAATCACACTTCTTGGGAAAAGAAGCTGAACAGTAGGCACACTTGAAGCTAAAACATGATTTGGACAAAGTTTCTCAGTACTTAAAAATACACAAACCAATCTTAGGGATGGAAATACACCAGCCCCTCCCCCCACCGCCCCCAGCCTGCTTCTGATCATCAAAGCACAAGCAAGCCAAGGCAGAGATGTACAACATTATACATGGTGCACAGAAAGTGGAGAGGGGGACATTTTTTTCCACCTAATATGAGAACCTGGGGTCTGGAATAGCTTTAAAAATTGGATTAAACAAACTAGTAACGGCTAAGGCTATATCAGTACTGGCACTTAGTCCTGATGGCTACATTGAGCCCCCAAGACTCAAGGCAGGTACTCAGAAATAGGAACAGGAGGGCGCTACTGGGCTCAGGATGCCTCCTGAGCAGAAAGCGGACTAAATGGACCTGCCTGGCAGAGCATGGCTTTTGTTAACCTTCTAAGGACAGAATCAAGATTCATACCTGATAATGTAGCATGAATGTCTCCATCGGAACACCCATGAACTTTGCTTTCACCTCAAAATCTCCAACTTCTTCTGTTGGACCAATTTCAAATATCACATTTTTAAATCTATGTAGATTGGAGACAAGAACAGGCATTTGTTATCACAATGTGTGGCTTCATGAAGTGAAGGGGGAGGAAATAGGAGGAGGAGGAGGATGGAGGTATGAAGTGAAGGCATCCTAACTGTAGTAGAGAAGTGCTGGTTTGACAGAGGTGGCAGTCCAACTTGGGTTCTCCATCAGAAGCTGCCCTCATATTAAGCCATCATCTCACTCATCTCTCTTATACCTGATACAATGAATGCTGAACAGATTCCCGGGTTCAGTAATAAGGCAGGATGAGAGAAAAGCAAAGCTTACTCGAGACAAGACTTGTTTGTCCCTCTTCTGGGATTAATTGCATCGCTTTCAAAATTTAGGGGAGTTCACTGATCCAACTTCAATGCCTGAGCAGCATGGAAAACTATCTCCAATTGGTACAGCAGCCCTAACCCTTCTTGACAGAAGTAACTGCCAAAGTTAATGGTATCACAGAATAGGCTTATCAAAGGGCATCTAGTCCAGCCCTCTCTGATAGAGGAAATCACCCACTGCTACAGCATCCTCAATAGGTCTTGCCTTTCATTCCATCAAGAACAGAGATTCGTGAACAAGGTGAATCATGTCTGTTCTTCTTGAGGGTTTTATGGGCTACATTTTCCTTTTGTATCTGTAGGGTGGCCCTACTTTAATTTATTACATTCCTAACTTAGGGTAACATATAGGAGATTTCAAAAAACAGTATTGATTCACTGATGCTCACATGCGCACAAATACGCATTCCTGACCTTGCGGTTTTCTCGGGGCATGCTGACACCTGGGTGAGGGTTGCCTCTGCACAGAGCTCCTTTGGCAATGGAGATACTCACTGACTAACTTGCAGGTCCTCAATCTCCAACAGGACACCCTTTTCATGGAGTCGGGCTGCTGTGTATTTCAGGAAAATCTTCTTACTCTTCTTTCCTTTCATCTCCCGTGGTTTTTTGGAGACCCTGATGAAAAGGAGGAAGAAGCTGTGGCCCTCTCTAGGTCCCCAGGAATTCCCTGTGTGCAGGGCTTGACAAGTGTCAGGCCAAGAATCTCTCTGGATTACAGCAGCTGGGGGCCCTTCTACCTTTATAAGGGTCACTGACACCCCGGGGAGTGGCAGGATCTCCCTTGCGAGCTCAGTCCTCCCCTTTGCCTCCAGATACCAGAAGTCTCTTTGCAAAACAGATCTTTACTGGGACTTCACAGCTACAAGACAAAGCAACTATCAAAGCTCTCCAGGAAGCTGGAGGAGATGCACACACTAAGAATGGCGGCTGCACTCAGCTAGGTACTTCTCTCCACAACCCTTTCCTTTCAGTAACTCTGGGGCTCCACCCTCAGGGTGGAGGGTGCACCAGTTGGTAGGATCTGCACAGGCCCCCTTAACTAGGCAGTTTGTCTTCCGATGTCTGGTTTTGGGGACCAAGTCCCCCCATCACCTTCTTCAACCCCTCCAGTCCATTCCAAAACATTCCCACTCTCCTAGTCAGCCTGCAAACCTGTGGGTGCTTTGGATCTCTCCAAGCTCTGTCTCCTCTCCTTGAGGATCCCAGTCCTGCTGGCCCCGAACCACTGCCTCCTGCTAAGTGCTGATCAGCCCCACTCTCTACACCACCATCACAGTACTATGGACGTCAGGTTCTTCTTCCACCCCTGGCTAATTTCTGTCTTCCTCCCAGTTGATTTTTCCCCCACCCTAGACCACTCCCAGGGTGTGCTGTGGACCAGATGAACTGGGCTGTCACTTACTTGCCCTTGCTGGCCAAGTTATCCAAGCAGGTTTTGATGTAACTCTTGTAGTAATCCACCTGTTCCCCATAAAAAGTAGCCTTGGAGTTGAGCGCATTGTAGGTCTGCTGAAGCTTCACTAGTTCTGCTTTTCTCCGCTGGCGATATCGCCGCTGATTCCGGATGTCCTAGGTGAGAAGCATATGGAAAAGAGGCTTCAATTATGGCGATAGTCTGGCAAGTTCTTTGTAAGACTGGGGGTTGGATCCAAACAGTCAGACACTGGAATGAATGGGGGTTAAGTTAGCTACGATGTTGTCTTCATGGATCTACCCTAATCATGAAGAAATCTGATCCACCCCTTGCCATTATTTGAGTCAAGGGGCCAAGACCCTCCCAGAGAGCAGCCACAGCTTCAGAGGCCTCAGGCTGAATGCCCAGCATCTCCAGGACTGGGTGAAAATAAAAATGTAAAAAAAAAAAAAAAAAATCTGCCTGAAAGCATGGAGAGCTGCAATGCTAGCCAGTGATGATAATACTGGGCTCAAGAGACCTGACTCAGTGGCTGTGTGTTGGTGGTGTGTGTTGGTGGTGTGTTTGGTAACGATCCAAACCTTCCTTTATCTGCCACACAACGACAATGGACCAGCTGCCTCAGCCAACCCAATGGCTCCTCCTGCTCCTTCTGGGCAGACCAGCGGTTCCCCAGCTCCCCTCAGCACCAACCTTTGCGACATCATTGATCAAATCCTGGTATTTGTTCTTTGGGTTCACTAGGCCCAGCTCAGCCAGCTTCTTCAGCCCTGCTTTGATCTTCTCCTTCTTCTCTTGAAGACTTAAATTGCTGTCCTCCTTGACTGCTTTCGATTTCTTCATCTTGTCTGGGGTTTTGGCATCTCGAATGGCCCGTCTCTGCATTGCCCTCTGGTGTTCAGTCTCCTAGGGTCAGAAGGGCCCAGAGCCAGGAATGTGAACCATTTCTTCGGATTCACATTCCCGCCCCTTTCAAACAAGGCAGAACCTGCTCCAGCTCTGCCCTTCCATCCTTGAACTGTCGCAGAGGCAGGAATGTCATTCGCACAGACACCTTCCCATACCTGCTCGGCAGTAGCTGGGGTCTCCAGGATCTCAGTCAATGTGTCTCCTGGCTGGAAACGGATTACATCGACAATTAAACGCTTTGTGCTGAAAAGAAAAAGGGGAAGAAAGATAAATACATGCTCTTCTTGTGCAAGGAATGGCTAGTGTGTGCCCCCCCCCCCAGATGCTGTCAGACCACAGGCTGCCCCAACCCACACCGTGCTGGCCAGAGGGTCAGATGCTGCCCTCCCCTATACACTGTGTGCAACCCAGAGCATCTCCCTTGCTGAGTTCCCAGTGGCGAAGAGAAGGCCGTTCCTGAAAACAGCCATTCTTGATGGCTCACAACATAGTGGCAGGAGAAAAAATCAACTGGTCAGCAGCTGACTGACTCTGACTCTTCAGTCCCCGTCAGCTGGCTGTGATAACTGCGTTGATTCGCGATACGCAAGTCCGTGCCACTGCTTGCAAGTCATAATGATCTGATTCGCATGTGCAAACAGCCCATGGGTTAAACAACCTGTTGCATGAGCAGGAGAGAGGTTTCTTGCTGGGCTAACTGCTGGGTTGTTAAACCTCTAAATGATGCACCGGGGGTGGCGCATCATGGGCAGCAATCTGCGAATGAGCTGATCACAGGATTCTTATGGAAGCAGGAACGGCTGGCATGCTGCGGACTGCACATCCACTCTCTCCTACTTCTGCGTGGCAAGTAGGTTGTTGCTACTTACAAACCAGCCCTATGACTGATGCACAGGAGAAATGCTGCCTGTGTCGAGTGCGAGCGCAACCCCGTCCAGCACAGGCTGAATCTCTCCTCCCTGGCCTGCCCTCTGACTGACAAGGAGCACCTCTGCCTCATCTGGATTAAGTTTCAGGTTGTCCGCCCTCATCCAGTACATTACTGCTGATGGACACTGACTGAGGACCAACACAGCTTCCTTGCAGTGAGATGGAAAAGAGAATTGGGGTGGGGTGCTAGCAGTGCACTGGTGACACCAAAACCCCAAACCTCACACTGTCTCTCCCAACATTTTCATTTATATGTTAAACAGGAGACATAATGGTGACCCATGGAGCTCCACAGGCCAGTGGCCAGGGCGTAAAACAGGTGTGCTCCAGCACCGCCTACTGGGCCCACCCTCCCCCCAGAAAGGAATGGAGCCACCGTAAGGCATTCCCTCCAATTCCCATCCCAACAAGAGGGATCCTGTGATCAATGGTATTGGAAGCCACTGAGAGGTCCAGCAGAACCAAGAGGGACACACTCTCCCCATCCAGTTCCGGGCACAGGTCATCCATCGAGGTGACCAAGGCTCTTTCTGTCCCCCAGCCAGGTCTATGGCCCGAATGAAATGGGTCAGGAGACTCTGCCTCCTTCAGGAGTCCCTGGAGCTAGAAGGCCACTGCTTGCTCCAATACCTTGCCCAAAAATGGAATATTGGAGACTGAGCAATAGTTGTCCGACATGGTGGGATCCAGGGAGGGCTTTCTTCAGCAGGGGTCTCACTCCCACCTCCTTCAGGCGAGTTGGGACCCTGCCTTGACTAAGAGAGGTATTAGCCACATCATATGGCCACTCAGTCAGTCCCACTCTGGCTGCTTGAATGAGCCAGGAAAAGCAAGCGGCCGGGACACGTCGGTCTTGCCTCACCAAAGATCCCGTCTACATCCTCAGGCCGTGCAAACTGAATGGCATCAAGCAGGAGCTGAACTTATGTCCCCTGGGACTGTATGAGCAGCAGCAGCCAAGCCAACAGCTCTGAGCGGCTTTGTCTGCAGCAGGCTGTCTGCAGGCCGACTCTGTCTGGCTTCTTCAGACATCAAATTGGCCTGCTATTTCCGCTTGCCCTCACTGCCTTCACTGGAGCGCGCATCCGTAACTTGTGCTGATCTAACGTGTGCTCAGAGAAAGAGCTGTTGCCAAACAGACAACCAACTGGTATCCACACGTTGCGGACCCAAATCTTTCCCTGCCCCGACCTCACAAGCCAACTGAAAGAAAGGAGCTTCCCTGAGGTTAGCTTTTCCACCGGTGTGAGATCATCAGCTACTTGCCTTAAAGCAACTTGATCTGAGCTGTCCCATGAATCTGAGACCATGTGGTCTGTGTCCCATCTGTGAGCAGGGTCCCGGCATTTTTTCTTTGCTGCTGTCATGAAAATCCCATTGCATACTGACTCCTGCTTTTTCCCATTCTTTAACCTGAGTAGGCTTATTGGAGTGGAAAACTTCTGGGTAGCTGCAACAGGAGAACCCCGATCGCCTCCAATACCCCAGCATCCACTTACTTCAGAAGAATTGTCTTTGCATCCATCTCAGCATTCTCATCCCCAGGAACATCAAATTTATTAGTCAGTGTAAGAGACACTTCTGTTTTAGCCAGCATCTCCTTGCTGGGATCATTCATGCTGCCTGTTCCTTCTCCTAGGATATAAAAATGGATGTTTGCCCTGTTATCCTTTCCACATTAATATTATTATTTGGGGGGGGTGCAAAAATGCAGATACAATAAAATAAGTTTTATTTTGCAAAGCTAGCAGTTGTACAACTCTGGAAAGCTTTTACATAGTTAAATAGAATGGATACTGCTTAAAGCAAGGGTCCTCAAGCTTTTTCAACAGGGGGCCAGTTGAAAGGTGGCGGCGGTGGGTGCAGGCGCGCTCAGAGGGAGAGACGGGCACAATCACGGGCGCGCTCGGGGAGACTGATGCAATTGTGGGCACACGCACATGCGCTGAGGCAACGGTGGCAGTGGGCACGCGCGGCAAGGCGGCAGCTTGCTCGCTCGGAGATTGTTTTCCCTGAGCAAGTCCAAAACCTGAGGCGGGCCGGATAAATGGGCATGGAGGGCCGGATCCAGCCAACGGGCCATAGTTTGAGGACAAATGGAGCCTTGGCAACACATGATAGAAATCTCTGGGCGGGGCCATGCTCAGCAGAAATTGTCTCCCAGCATTTATCAGGGAAACTGAAGTCCCCCATGATGACTACATCATTCTTCCTGGAGGTTTTGGCATGTTGCTTTTCAAAGGCTGCGTCCTTGTCCTCTTCTTGACTGGGTGGTGTCAGAGTCCGCGGCAGGCAGGGGCACCAGGATTCTTTGCTCTCTTTAAATTAAGCCAGATGCTTTCAATGGAGCTACTAAGCTCTTCTTGTATTCTGTGCAGAGAGATGTGTCTCTTGCATATAGTGGACTCCACCTCCCTTTTTGGCCCTTGTTTTTCTTGAACTGGATCCATCAATAGTGGCACCCAGACTATGGAATACGCTCCCCAGAGAGGTCCACCTGGCACTGACGTTATATTCCTTCTGGCGCCAGGTAAAGACCTTTTTATTTAACCATCAATTTAATAATCAAGGGTTTTAGATGTTTTAAGATTTTTTATTCTCTGTTCTCACAGTTGCGTTTTCTATTTTCTCTTCCTTTTCCTTTTAGTTGATAATGTTCAGTTTATATGCTTTTAATAAGTGTGGTTTTATTATTGTATTATTTTAATTTTATACTATGTAAGCTGTCCTGAGTGCTTTTGTGGAAGGATGGGATACAAATGTTTGTAATTAATAAATAAATTGTGGAGTTCCTGTCCTGTGAGTCATTCCACCAATCTTCAGCTATTCCTGTAAGATCACGACTGCCCTCGTCTGCTATGAGCACAAGTTCATGTTGCAACCTGGTTCAGCTGCCACAGCAGGACTAACAGTAAAGTCCATGCATCAACCTAGAAGAAAACTCAGAAGGGAGGGCATCTTCTCCCTGATACTGTTAAAGGTGAAAGAACCCCTCTGCAAAGAGAGTTCTTAAAATGCCTCTCTCACAAATGTGGAGTATCAACATTGGTGTTCAAATAGTTTGTGGCTGACAGATTTAACATTGATTAAAAACACATAACCCTCCATGCAAGTTTCTCATTAACAGATCAAAAAAGCTCACCAATCAGAGATTCAATGGTGGACACTTCCCCCAGGTCATCCAGAAGTTCGTGAATGGGGTCATTGTGCTCAGGGGCAATTGCATCCTGGTGATCCAAAAGCAGCTGGTTTGAGGGTAACAGAGATACCTGATTAGCTGGTATTGCTTCTGATTTCTACTCTTCTTCCGTAAACGCTTTTCTGCTGCATTTGGTAGAGGCTTCCAGATTTGACCAAATGTATGAAGAAAATATGCAACAGACTTACCGTATGTGTATTGATAATTTCTCCAATGGAAATATAAATCACTGGTTTTGTCAAAGTCACCAGGTCGGAATATTCATCAACATTAAACTTATCTTGCAGTTCCGGGACCTCACAAGCAGCCTGGAAAAAGCGCCTTTCAAAAGATGGAGAGAGAGGCTTAGTTACAGCAGGTGTGGGGACAGTGATTATGCCAAAAGTTTCACAGAGAACAATACCCAGAACCAGGAGCAGAGACTCACAAGTAGTCAGGACATGGAAGAAAGATGTCTAGATTAAGTCAATGGAGAGAGTTAACCCCAGACTGCAAGTCCACGTTAAACCAAGCAAGCCCAGGCTACTTTTTTAAGCTTTGTGTGGAGCTCGACATGGGCCTAAAAAGTTTCTGCACGTGTGAACACAATCCAGCATGCCGTAAAGTAATGCATTAGGTTTACAGGGGCTCCAGCCAGGAGACCACACAGGGCAATCTATGGCAGCACTTCATTCTGAACAGAAAGGTAAAAAGCTGGGCAACAGGGCCAGGAGCTTGAAAGCCTGGAGGCAGTGGCGGCAGGAGCCCTGCAAGGCTGGGGAGGGCAGCTGGAGCAAGACAGGCTCTCCTGCCTGTGCTCCATGCGCTGCCTCAGTGTTCCTGGCTTGCCTTCTGTGAAATGGGTGCTGCTTTGCTCTGCAGCTGCAAGCATGTGCTCTGGCATTAATGCCTGGGGAAAATGGCGGTGTTCGTTGCAGGCAGGGAAGAAGCCCTTGTTCTTTTTCTATGTTTTGGTTAACAAGTAAGCCAACAAGATGTTTTAAGCACAGTGTGAGAATTTATTTCTACTTTTCAGTCATGAAGAACCTCTGCTCTGCACAGAGAAGTTCCCAAGTTCAGTCCCTGGCAGCTTCTGCTGTTAAACAGAACCACGTACAAGGAGACAGGAAAGCCATTCTCTACCGGAGGCCCCAGGGAGCTGCTATTAATCGAATAGGGCAGTGCTGACCTGGCTCTGTCCGACTTGGTTATTTTGCAGCTTTACGCATCCCTAGTTCACTCACACTGAGGAGCAAAGCAGCATTTAAGCTGCTTCTGTTTCACCTCTGAAATGCCTCTACACTATATAGCCTCACTTTTTAACTTTCACTACTATCTCTGTATTGGGCTCATTATACACAAAGGCTTTATTTATGCTCCTGCAAGATTATGTTACCAAGAACATATTTTCCCAGGAGGGTCTGTGGACACCCTCTACATGTTTGGGTCTCCCAGTGGAACTCTTTCTCAGAATATAATACCCTGAACAGCAGTAGTTGTGACAACTAAAATACAGGGAGATTCATGCTTCTGGAGGCCCTGTGACCTTCACTTTTAAGCCCAGGGCTCCACAATTCATCAGTAGGTTTGCATGCCTGTAGCCCCATGTGCACACACAAAGTACATAGTCAAAGAAGCCTTGCATGAATGCAGCCACAGACCTGCAGCAGCCCCTCACCTTTGCCTATTGAAAGCAACCTGCCTGTGGGGCTGCCCTGAGGAAGGTGTGTCCTGCTTCCTGGAGGTACAGAACGTTTCACTGCATTTATAACAGCCTCGTTACTTTCAAGATAATGTCTCCACTCTCTATTACCTAGAATTCCCTACCTGAATTTTTGATAAGAGAGAGAGAGATACTCATTAATGACACCAAGATGCGCATTATCTCCAAGGAACATCTTATTTGACGCCGCATGCTGCAACATTTTTGCAATTGAGCCGAGGTTTCGCCGTTGGTCTGTAGTTAATTGTCCACCAGCTGACAAGTCGATGATGTCAAAGGCATCGGGCGCCACGATGGCTGGGTTCATGTAGCGATAGTACAGAAGATTGCCCACAATCTGTGGAGAGAGGACATCACAAGGGCCTCAGCGGCTTCCTTGTAACCACGGCTGTCTAACATAAGTGTTCACTACTTCTGTCCTCCAAATTCCAACCTGCTCAGCTTCAAGACATACAGAGGGGAGACAACAAGTGCTCAGAAGGAAAAGAAAGTTGCAGACTTTTGTAGCAGAATAGCAGCTGCTTTTTTCATGTTGAGGCTATTTAGCTAAAAACTGGGAACCTTTCTTCTCAGAAACAGAAAAGGCAAGGAAATGTGCATTTTAAGCACTCCTTGGAGGGACCATCTCCACGTTTACTGTGGCTATATAATTGTTTTCGACACAGCATACTGGCAAGCCAGAGAGGGCAGGAAAGCCCACCTTAACTGTTCTTGCTTCCACGTCTGTTCCTACTCCTGCCTCGGGGCTTGAAGAAAACTAGGCAGAGGGACAGCTGGACAAAGGGAAGAGTCCATCATCCACTGCTTGACTTCACCATCCTTTAAAAAAATGAAATAGGTATCTGCCTATTGGGGCTGGGGAATCATGAAGTGCCTGAAAATTGGGAAAGGGGTGAAATGGCATGCAACTAAGCTGTGAGGACGCACCAGCGGAATAGCTGAGGGGCCATTCTGGACAAGACCCTCATAAGGCGCTGCCTCACAAAATCTCCACCGCTGTTCTGCAGTCATTGGAAGCTACTCCGGAGAGACATGGTGTTTCCCACCTAAACGTACGCTTAAAAAGGTTAATTCACCTGCAGAGAAAGCCTAGATTCGATGCCTCAGTGTGGGAAAGCACAGAACTAGAAGAGAGAAGAAAACAGCATTCAGGTCTTCAGGGTGCAAGATTGCTTTCTATCTTTAAAGAGAAACTGCCAGGTATGACTCACGGTGACCATTGCTAATGCACGTTACAACCGAGACATGAATAAAAGGTAGGGTCACAGAACCAATTCATGCAAGTAAAAGGTTGCCATGGTGAATTTTCTTGGCTTTAAGAGCAGCAAAGGTGGCAGAGTTTCCAAGAACAGGGTGCCACTGACCGACCATCACACACCCCAATGCTATTTTAACATCTTTTTTTTTCACCTGACACGCTCTCTTTAAGAAAGGAAGGAGGAGCTGGCACAGGCTGCCGCTGAAAAAGCATCATCTTCCCTTGGAGAGAAGAAGCGCAGCAGAGACAGACAGAAGTGGCAGAAGCAGCAGACGTGTCCCCTCAGCTCAGCACTCAGCTCACCCTGCGCCTCTCCCTGCTTGAGCCCAGCCAGGCTCTTGGCAAGACCCAAGAGAACAGAGGGCGGCTTCCTCACCTTCAACAGTTCATCTTCACCGGCATCTGGGAATTTTTCATGAAGAGAATCTTTCAGGACTTTGGCAATGAAGCGCATTCCGTAACTGCACAAGGGACAAGAGAGAAAGTGAGAAGGCAGGGAAGGGAATCTTTGCTCATGTTAGCCTTAGCAGCAGCTTGTGGAACTCACGGGATCTTTTCCAGGGAGCTAATAATGGCCAGCAGGAATTTGTCTGTCACTGTCCGCATGTTCCGAATGGAAGCATCCAGGCGTGTCTTCACTTCTTCATGGGCTAGGGCTTGCTCCGGTGTAACATCATAAGGCAGCTTGCTGTTTGAAAAAACCACAGAAGCAGGTGAGCCTTGAAGGGTTCAGACAGGCCCTGCTGCACCTTTTCAATAGGGCCAGGGATCTTCTTCAGCCCAAAGGCTGAATTCAGATTTGGAAAAGCACTGCAGTGATGAGAAGGGCTTAAAGAAAGGAGCGAGGGGCAACACTCCCCAAAAATCTCTGAACAAAGGACAGCACTGCACCTTTGCTTTGGAAACACCTCTGCGAAGGCCAGCAGGCTTCTAAACTGAGGAGCAAACTGCACACAAGCAGCTGAAGAGGAAAGGAGGGGAAGGGCCGGCATTCCTCCCATGCACTCCTGGAACAAGAACGGGAGGGGCTCCCACCCAGCTAAGCACCTGGCTGCAGAAACTTCCCAGGGAAAGCCTTCATGCAGGCACGAAGCCCATGTGTGTGGCACGCAGAGAACTTGACAGTGACCCAGTGCACTAAAGTAGGAGGGAAGGAGGAGGAAGCCCTCTCTTAATTTCCCTCCCTGTGGGATTGGTGAAAAGGGGGAGGGGGGGGGAAGGCAGCTTCTAGAGCCCATTTGCTCTTCTCTGGATACAGAAGCACCAAAAGCAGAGAGTTGCTTTTGAAAGAGGATGGTGTCCCTGCCCTTCTCCCCAGGGGCTGACAGGAAGAAGCTGCTTGTCATGGCCTCAGCCATGTTGCCTGCTGGGTTCTAAGCTCATCGCAGTGTTCCAGGGAACAACACCGGTAAGGTGGAATACACCTTAAGACAAAAGCTGTAACGTGCCCACTAAAAAGAAAAGAAACATCTCTTATGCATTTGTGAATGGACTGATTTTTCATTTGCTGGAAAGGTGCATTTCTGATAATGGCTACAAGTCACATAACCCAATGAACTCACAAAACCCAGCAGGAACTGTGATGCATTTGTCTTGGGCTGTTTCACCAGATCTTTTTGGAACACTGAATATACCAAACAACAAGAAATCTTGAGTATGAAAAGTGCCCACACCTGGCCTCTCCTGTCTGCGATTCCATCTGATTGACCCACGACTTGTATATATCCACTGGATCCGTTTTGATGTTGAGGGACTTGTCCTCCATGATTTCCTTCACAACAGGAGCTAGGATCTGCCTCAAGGCATTCTGTCCACGAGCACCGCGGTTGAAGCTCACCACCATCTTGATCACGGTGGGGTTTCCAGTTACAATTTCCTGTACTTGATCCACCTTGGATCTGGAAGAAGAAAAGAACACCCCCCACCAGTCAAACAGTCTGACTCCAACAGTGGTCAGGCAGTTGTGACTCCTGTACAATTCATAAACAAGACATGATGCCAATGGATGTTGTGTGCTTGGCCCAGGATCTGATATTTGCAGATACAATATTAGTGGAAATGCAAGTTTTGTGACTCTGTCTAATCCATTTTTCTTTCTTTTTTATATCAGACAATGCAGCAGTACCACTACCATAATGTGGTGAATAAATCCTCTAAATCATGGTTGGAAAAATAGGACTCTCCAGATGCTGTTGGCTTTTAATTCATATCAATCTGAAACAGCATAGTCAGTGACTAAGGATGATGGGAGCTGCAGTCCAACAACATCTGGAGGGCAACAGTCTTCCCACCTTTGCTATGAATTAATTATGCATTGTGCCTGCCTGAACCTCTTGCCAATCAATTCCTGTTTTTAGTTTTATGCATTCCAAAGTCCATACATGCAACTTTGCAAGACCAGCAAAAAGCAGGATGTGGGGAATGGGAAGGAAGAAGCTAATTCCTCAGAATTATAGGAGTGGAGATAGGGTAACTTACTCAAGGCTTAAAGCATTATCTACAAGATGCAATTCCACTTTGGATACAGACAAAAGATGGCTAGCTTTGCTGATTGTAAACTGGAGTACACCAATGCTCCCCATGCATGATAGGACCATGGTAAGGTGATCAAAGAGACATGAGCATGTCTGCTGTAATTTCCAAATAGTTAAACCCTCAAGGTGAAGCAGAACCAGTTTGAAGATGCCAAGGAGGGATTCCCCCATGGGAAGAATGTTTCTCAACAGTTGTGAAGCAACTGCTAGTTCCAGAAAAAAAGTTTGAGGGGAGATGACTGTCAATTTAGATATATCCTTACATGACAGTCTGTCATTGAGTTTCTAGGAATTAGTTAAATGAAAGGCCTACTTGATCTCTTCCTGCAGTGCAGTCTTGAAGAGGCGCAGTAACAGGTATTCTTCTCTCTGATTTGATGCATAGTTGTACAATGTGAAGATCACAGAATCCATGAACTTTGTGGATTTGTTCTGTGGCATTTGGAAAATCAACTTTGCCAGGTAAGTTGGGTTCGTCTACAGCGAAATAGGAAAGAGACCATGGAGAAACTCGTAGGGAAGACAAGACAAAGAGTCACCTGCTGAGGAGAATGAAAGGAGGCAACCCCTCCCTTACCTGCAACAAGTAAAAGAGATGTTGGTAGGCTTCCAGCTTTTCCCTCTTCTCTTTGCTCAGAGCCTTCAGGCCTCCCCTTTGTTTGTTTAGCATCATCATGTCTGAGAGTTGCTCTTTGTTCTTTTTAGTAAGCTTCTTACTATGAGATACAACATCCTGCAAGGAGGAATGCAAGGTGGGTTCAGGCCAGTCCTCCCATTCATACCTGCCTTGCATCCTATCCATGGGGGCTTGGGGTAGACAATGCTAATTTTAAAAAATGCCATGGAGCCAACTGGGTGACTTTGGGCCAGTCACAGACTCTCAGCCCAACCTTCCTCACAGGGTGGTTGTTGTGGGGATAAGATGGAGGAGAAGAATGATGTAAGCTGCCTTGAGCCCTTTGTAGGAAAAAGGCAGGATATAAATCGAAAAGTAAATAAATAAATAAATCTAAGATTACTCAGGCAGATTTGGAAATTAACCACATTACTGATGTGCCTAGCTTTTTAGAAGCACCTTCTGGCCATTAGACCCATGATTTTCTTCCATGTCAAATAATATTAGTAAATTGTCAATGAATTAGTAAATGACAATACAGTGGTATCTTGGCTCATGAACTTAATCCATTCCAGGACTCTGGTCGTCCCCAAATTTGTTGTGAGCCAAGTCAAATTTGCCCATAAGGTTCAGTGTAAATAAGGTTAATCCATTCTGTAACTATTTTTTTTTTATCACTAACATTTGAAGCAAAGAACAACAAAGATCGCAGCCATCTCCCTGCCCACCCCCCACCGTAGCACAACCGCAATTGTGCCCGTCTTCCCTGCATGAACATGACTGTGATTGCAGCACAGATGGGCGCGATTGTGGTCATGCTCGGGCAGAGAACATGGGCGCGATCGCGGCCATCCCCCCGCAAGCACGATTGCGGCCATCTCTCCTCCCCCAAGCATGATCGCGGTCACGCTTGTGCAGGGAAGACTGGCGCGATCATGATCATCACCGAATGCAGAGTTCGTGACCTGAGGCAATTTTTTTTCTGAAATGTCTGTTTGCAACCCAATTTGGTCATGAACTAAGGTGTTTGTGAGCTGAGGTACCACTGTACACAGATGCTGAGAACTGTGGTGCTTTTCAGTGCTACACAAGTGAAGAAATGAATTCCAGCCCTGGAGATGTGGGTATTGCCTTAATTGTTGTGGGTCAGGTTGTCTGCCAACAGCTGATGGAACAACCTTCAATTCAGAGATGGGATATCTGTGACTGCAGAAAAGCATCAGGAAAAGAAGCTGGCCACCGCACTCAGCTTATAATTCTCAGGAGGGTGAATCTCAGCAGCATTCAGATGCAGCACATGCATTATTGATAGCCATCAGACCAATTTTTGCTGTGTTTTAGGGGTTTAATTTTGTGGCACATCCAGAGGCTTTGGCAACTAGGCAGATTAGTTGTGGAATAAATTTATGAGCTTCTACCGGGAAGCTCATTAAAGTATTCCTATGGAATTGTTTTTGCCAAAACACCTTTAGAATCCACTCTGTATCTCTACCGTCACTTGTGTCCAGCCTGGAAACACCATGGCAGGGCCAAGCAGCCTCCTTCCTAGGAGAATGAGCTGTACCTGCAGCGTGATTTTGTTTTTCACCAGCAGCCCAATCTTTATGTCCATTAGGTTGAGGTCATTCTCCAGTTGCTGATTGGACCGAATCAAGGTCACAACCTCCTCACGCATTTTCATTAGGTCCAGCTCTTCTTGAAAATCTTGATCGCTTTGATCCAGCAAGTGGACAAACTTCCGGACCACAGCCATCGGGGGGTCTTCAGCGTTGACTGCGGAAGGAAGAGACGCTAACGAACAACAGTGGAGGAATTTGATGCTGGAACTGCCTTATTTGAATTTGGGTGTTTCCCATTCTTGTAAAAGAAAGCAGATTGCTAGAAGTAAACGACGTGGAGTGTCAAGCAGACAGGTATGGCCTCTGAGCAGCTAGGAAACCATTAGACCACATAAGTGGCACCATGGCTATTGCCACGGTGATCTTGCAGACCAGTTATCAAAGGACCACCAAAAGGGTGGGAGTGCATTTCCCATTCTAGATCGCAGGTTTTGCTCTTCCAAACTACTGTCCCACACCAACACTTCATGTGGAGCAGGGCAAAGCAAGGAATGCAGCTTATGGCTGCCACACAGGGGAACTGCCAGATTCCTCACTTCACCGGTGCAGTTAGAGCACAGCTGGCACAGCCACATTGCCCAGCCTCCCTCCCTCCTTCCCAGCACTTACTCAGGGTCTTGTAATCATCGCGAGCTTTGTTAGCACGGATGAAAGCCTGGATTTTCACAATGTCGCTGATCTAGAAAGGAAGCAAAAGCACGCACGTTGGCATCCTGTCCCACTGGCAAGAATATGGCAATGCATTTGTACAATCCCTACAGAATCCCTACAGCCATAGGCATTTTTGCCTGGTGTCCTTGTTTCTTCTGGGTCTTTCTGAACAGTGTACATACTGTATTTTCTGGGCCATCTGATGTTAGAGTTGGCCACAGCCATTTGGCTTGTTTTCCCAGCTCTCTCTCAGCCCAAATTGTGATAATTCATTATTCTTGCTCTTCCCTTGACCAAGACAAATGCTGGATGGGATTCTTGGTTTGAACCTTCAGTGCCTCTCCTGACAAACTCAGATGCTGCCTGTGACTCTAACATGTAACCAGAGCTTAGGGCTATCACAAGCCAAAAAGCTTTAATTTTTTTTCTTTGCCTAGTTGGTTTCTGTTCTAGCCCTTTGTTACACTCTTGTAGGAAACTTTCTCTGTGGAAAGCTCTGTGGAAATCAGCTGGAAGGAAGGTAGGGTCGGCTGGCAGAGACCAGCAGCTTGCCTAGTTGTGTACCTGTTCCCAAGCAGTGTGCTTCTATTACTGATGGAAGACCCAGTTTGTCCTAGCTCTGGGATGGGGGGATTAAGCAGGAGCAGGTCGGGGTCAGTTTATATTGAGTGGCTGGCAAAACAAATCCAAAATTGTCAGCAGGTTCTTACATGATCTCGGAAGTACTGGAGCCGATCTTTGTACCGCTTTCGGGCCTGATACATCCTGGTCATTGCCTGAATCTGGAGAAGACAGAAAAATTCTCACTATGGCAAGGAAGCGAAGGTGGCCACAAACTAAGCAGTTCCACAATGTTCCAGGACAATCTAGTAGAGAAGTAATAAAACTATTAGATCTTTGTAGCTTTAAGTTATTTAATTAACTGTATTAAGTTGGAATTGATGGGAGTGGATTTCTGTACTCTTCCGGAAGGGTGGGATGAAGGAACAAAAACATAAAATAATATATACTAATTTGGACCCAGTACTCTTCAACATTGTCAGTGATTTGGATAAGGAGGTGGCACAACATGGGGTGGGATAGCTGATACCCTGAAAGACAGAAACAAGATTCAAGCTGATCTTAGTAGGTTGCAGGGCTAGGCTGAAAACAACAGAATGAAATTAAATAGGGACAAATGCCAAGTTCTACCCCTATTAAAAGGGAACCAAATGGACAGTTAGAAAATGGGGGATACTTGGCTCAATGATACTGCAAGTGAGAAGGATCTTGGAATTGTTGTAGATCACAAGCTGAATAGGAGTCAACAATGTGAAGTGGCTGCAAAAAAAGCTAATGCTAGATTGGGCTGCATCAACAGAAGTATAACTTCCAGCCATGCAAAGTTCTGGCTCCTCACTACTCAGCACTTCTTAGGTGACCTCTGGAGTAATGTGCCACTTCTGGGCACCACACTTCATGAGAGATGAAGACAAACTGGAAGCAATTCAGAGGAGGGATACAAAGGTGGTCAGGAGACTGAGATAGCATGGTGAGATAGCCTCAGCCAACTTGCAATGGCTGACTTTGAGTCACCAACTTCTGAGCGACTCAGATTTATGCATGGCCAGTGTTTAGATAAAGATGGAGAGCTCTCCATTCCACCCAACGTATCTTGTTTCACTTTTAAGTCTAACTCCTCCTGCTCTCTCATTTTGGCTTGAAATCTTCTAGTCTTGCCATAGAAATACCTAAACACAGTGGACATACCCTAACCCTAAGCCTTGTCTTCCCCGGGGGGAGAAGGGGTGATCTCCCCCACTGGCTGCAATATGCAAAGCAGTTACCCGAAATCAGGAGGCGAACACCGTATTGCAATGAGCAATGGACCTGGCCCATGAGAGAAGGAGGGAGAACTGGCCGTCCTTGCCCTGCTGTCAGCAGCAAAGACATGAGGGACACTCCATGCCTTGGGACCAAACGAGGGACGGTCCAAAGCCTAGAGCCTTGCCAGGAAAGAGGTTTACCTTCACGGCTTCATTCTTGTGGGCTTGAAGGTACTTCAGGCGATCCTGGTACAGCTTCCTCTGCTTATAGCCACGCCACTGAGACTGAAACCAAACCAAACAGGACGGAGACTTGTATGCTGCGCACAGCAGAGGACCTGGCATGCTCCTCTCCTGCCTCTGCTCCACTCCCACTGGCTTCACCTCCAGAATGATGCAATATTTGGGGTCCAGGTGGGGCTGCCAGTGCTTCTCATTAATACACTCTAGATGACCGCTAACCCAAGACCAAGGACCACAAGGTCAAGCCCCTCCGTGCTAAAGGCCCAGAGTACCGGGCAGAGTTGCAAGGAGAAAACAGGTGCTGGGCTCTCCATGGCACCACCACTCCCGCTGAAGCCACCCAGCTCTGAAGGTGAGGAACTGAACAGCTGGTCCCCTTGGAACAGGGCTGGCCTGAGCCCCAGTGACAGGAAAGATGGCTCCCAGGCAGGATGCACGCAGCATGCAGGAAAACCCCGAAGTGGCAAGAGGGCAGAGCAGACAAAAAAGGAAGGCTACGATCAAAGCTCAGACCAAGGAGGTTTCCTGGGCCCAAGAATGACCCATACTCCCAGATGATCTTCCGTGAGGACATGGGGCAGTGGGGCAGCAGGACCCCCACTGTGAGACACAAGCCAGTGCTGCCAGCACCGCTCCACAGCCCTGAGCGCACAGCCAGGTTTCCTCAACCAAATCTGTCCTGGGGCTGGGAATCTGCTGGACCCCTGGGGCTCAACAGCTGGACTCCGGTCTGTTTTCACATGGCCATGAGCCCAACTTCCTGGCAAGTGTGAACCCTGCACAAGCAGCATCTCTTCTGGAGCGTGTACTTCATTGGTGATCTGCATGTGCTGTGGAAGAAGGCAGCCGGCTGCGTGGTGCTCATTCTGCCCATCCTTGCAGACTTCCTCTTGACTCGGCTCACCTTCCAAGGCAGGGCCAAATGTGAGAGGAGGCCCACGAAGGCCAGAGGGATGGGTTCCATGCAGCTCTGGCTCATCCCCCATGTGGCCAGCCCAGAACTACACAGATGCGCCTCAGTCAGATGCTACTAATGGATGAATGGAAACAAAACGGGGCACTGTGCGTGGTAACGTCTGAATAATGCAGCTGGCAGAGAAAAGACTGTCGTGCCACCGACTCCGAGCACACCCTGCCCACCGTATTCAAGCCCCCCACTTCCCCTCCAGCAACTTGTCTCCGCTTCTTCTTGAGCAGTTCCTTAAAATCCTCTGCCAAGGCCCTCTGTACCTGTATGCAAGTGATGGCAGGAACTTGCTTTTTCAAGAAATGCATCCTGGTGTTGAACTCCTGGCGCACGAGGTAGCCACGGCAGCATGCCTGGAGCCTGGTGATCAGGTTCTCGTTGGCCAGCCAGAGCTGCTCTCGATTGTACGCAGCAGTGACTGCTGAGATGGCGCTCTAGATCCCGAATGCCAGTGGGAGAACAAACAAGAGCCAAACTGAATGCCAGGCTGAAATGCACACCCTGCCTCAGAGCAGTGCAAACACTGGCCCTGAGCAAGACTTGCTAGTCACAGACAACAGACAGCTATTAGAATCGTTGGGAAAGGCACCTCCCCGCATCCTGCCCACCTCAGGGGAGCACTTGGGAAGGGGACTGCATGACAGTGTTTCTCCGCAGCAGTGCCCAGCCTCTGGAGCACCCTGCCTAAGCGGGCCTACACAGGCCCCTCTCCAGGAGCAGATGAGGGCTCTCAGGCCGTGGCACACAGAGCCTTTTCCTGCTGGCGGTTGCTAGTTTTACTCTAGTTGGCTACTTCAATCCATTTTTATATGTTTGATACATTTGCCGTTAGTATACGTGATTACGTGCAAAGCATCTACGGCTTATGGCGCAGCGCTCTTCAGGTACCACAGGTCATAATTTGTGATGCAGCAGTGTAACACAGCTGCCCTTCGGAAATGGTGGCTATTTTATAGGCTCTGTATAAAGATGACAGATGCCTGTCTATTAAGCAAGAGAGGAACAAGGAACAAGAGGAGGAGGAAGAAAACAAGCAATCTTGGGCTCCAGGTCTCAAAGTTACGTAACACTCCTTCTAATGATCAGCTGCAATGGAGGCCATGGCAGGAAGGGAGGAACCCTGTGGCAGCTGCCGCCCAGGCGAGCCAACTCAGCCATGCCCCATGTCCCTCTTCTATGGGCATACTATTGCCTTACTTCAGAAATGCAGAATATACATTTAAGCAAACATCCCAGAGAAATACTGCCATGGAAGCCCCCAAAGGTACATCACAAAGTCAGGCCAGTGGCTGAGGAAAAGAAATTTGGGGTCTTTCAGTTAACGTAAAGCCAACAGTTAACGTAAGGCCAAGACCTTTTTATTTAAACGATATTTTAATTGTTAATTGTTGTTTTTATTTATTGGTTTTTATATCTGCGCTGAGATGTCTCTGGATTTTTTAGGTTAATTGTATGTTTGTTTATTTGCTTTGTAAGCCGCCCCAAGGCTTTTTGCAAATGCGGCAGCATAAAAATGTTCTAAATAAAAAAATAAAATAAATAAACTGCTATGAAATCTCCAGGTCACAAACGGTGACCCACAAAGGCTGAACAGGTATGGATGCGGTGTTCATAAACACAACCTGTTCCCTGCAGTGCAGTTCCCCCTGCGTCGTACTCTGAGGGAACGTGTACTGTGCACTTGGTGCTGGTGGCAGTGAAGAAGACCAAGAAACACGTGCTCCACATACCTGGATGTCCTCCCGGGACAGCTGTGTGCTGCTCTGCACAAAACCTGGCGGCTCCTCCCAGTCCCCCTCTTTGGTCCGCAGGCTGTGGTAATAATGGTAGCCTCCCTTCACCCAGTGCTTCACCCACTTGCTGCCATTGTCTCCTGGAAGAAATCCAACATCGGTGCCGATGCCACCCTTCCTGCTCTGCTCTCTCACCTCCGGCAAGGTGGCTCAGAGGCAGAAAATATGCTTTGTATGCCCAGGGTCTGAGGTTCAAGCTGGGCGTGGATTGACAAGCAGCCCCTCATCTCTGCCAGCCCACCCCCAAGCAACAAAAACTCTGCAAGGTTTCTTGTCTTCCCTTTGCAGGCAGCACCCCTCTTACCCACAGCCAGCTTCTGTCTCTTGACTTCGGCCAGTTCCTGCTGGTATGTCTCTGCACATTCCGGGGTTACACCATACAGCCCAACATCAGCTGAACGCAGGAAGCTGAGCGTTTTTCCAACGTCGCCCTGGTCTATGGCTTCATTAATTGCCAAAATGCCTAATGAAACTTGGATGAAGTACAAGGTAAACTCTTGATAACCTTGCAAGTGAACACATTCCAGGTAAGTTTCTGTTAATGTACGTTCAAATCACTCCCAAGCTTTGCCTTCTCAACTTACTTTCTACTTTTTGAAGTCAAATGTGATCATGCCAGATTTTCCTACTGGTTACATTTACGTTACTTTAATCACTGTTCCCAATTCAGTCAACAAAATATTTTGTGCCATGTCCTGTGCAACACTTAGAAGGTAATCCTATATATGTTTACTAAATTCAATGGGGCTGAGTTTAAACAAGCTGCGAAGCCATCTGCTTCCCCTGACCCAACCACCACCCCATGTGGTTGCATCTTTAGATACATACAGAGATTGACAAAGCCACTTCCAAAACATCTGATAGATAAAAGAAAGACTTACACTTTTGTGCTTCCTCTGTGTCCTTGTTCGACTGATGAATTCCACCCTGAATTTCATCCAACCAGAGAACAGCAGTTTCATCCCGAGTTTCCTGAAGGCAAAGCAAAGCATTGTTCATCCTCAGCCTTTCACTCACAGAGGACAGGGGGAAGGAGACTGAAAGACCCAGATTGTTTTCAGGAATTACATTCTTCACAACAGGCAGAGGGCTGTGGTAGTGGGGAAAAACCCCAAAACCCTATTGTCAACAGAACACACTAATTAAAAGTACGTGTTTCTCCTGCCCTCCTCAAATCCTCTTACCTGGAGAACTGCAGAGAATTTGGGATAGATACTTTGCAAAGCTCTGGGACAAGAAAGACCTGCATTTTTGCTAGGAAAGGAAAAAAGGCCCTCAGCCAAGCAGCAGCAGCAGCCATGACACACTACTTTTGGCAAGGACAGAAAAAGTCAGGCCTATTGCAATCCATCTCTGAAACTGCCAAGAAAACCCTAGCTAGAGCCTTAATTCAATCTGGGATGCTCCTGCCCACCTGCTGATGTGAGAGCCACATGTTCAAAGAACCCCTGAGCCCTGTTTCAAGAAATCAACGCCAGCAGTAACCCACCCCCTGCAGAAGCACAATCGAACCCTGACTCTCCAGCTCCAGGCCCCTCTCCAACATCATCAGTTAATGTTAGGCTTAAAGTTACTTCAATAATGTTCTAAATTTAGGAGCTGTCTCTTTTATTGATTTTTTTTACAATACTTCATACCTACACACATAGATACAGATTCTCTCTCTCTCTTCAGTTCCTGTAGTTACTTGTAGTTACTATATTATTATCATTAGTACAATGCTGTATTGTGTTTAAGATGTCTTAATGACTATTGAAATGTTTCTTAAGTGGTTTGTATGCATAGAAAGGTAAAATATATACATAAACCAAGACAAGCATTTGACTTACTCATGTGATCCAACTTACATACAAATCTGACTTAAGGATATTCTCAGGAACGGAACTTGTCTGTAACCTGGGGACTGCCTGTACTCAGAAACACTTAGTGCTGTTGTGAACCATCAAGACAGCTTCAGTGCTGGGTAGTATAGAAGTTAAATACCTAAATAACTCCCACTCTGTTCAATGGAAGTTACTCCTTGGAAATAAACTGCACTGAATTGCAGCCTTCAGTCAGTGAAGGTCCCACCACCATGTGGCTTAAAGGGACTTCTTAAAGCAGTTCATAATCATTTTCTGTTCTTTTCATCCCCCCGCTCTGCTTCCTTCATGATTTGCCCGCCTCTTAATTTAACTGGGACCTGGGTGATCCGGGTTCTGGTCCTCACACAGCCAAGAAGCTGAGTGAGTCATTATTCTCACAGTGCTGTTGTAAGAACAAAACAGAGGGGAGCGTGAGGACTGTGCATGCTGCCTTGGGTTTTGTTCAGGAAAAAGGCCATGCAGAAGTATAATAAATTGTTAGTACTGGACTTCCAAATGATTAATCCTTGAAAGGACTGGAACCAGGCTGTGCGTCACTGAAACAGTCTGTAGCCATTTGACTCACCTGGGCTTTCTCTCTCTTTGTACGGAGCAGCACATCCTGATAATGCTGTGCTACTCTAGGGGTCACCCCCTCCAGTTTTGCTGCTGGAATCTGCAATGCTTGCAGGGTTTTCTTACAATCTCCTTCATCCAAAGCATCATTGATTAGTCCGATTGCTAGGATTCCTGGAACAAACACGAGAGAATGAAAAGACGCACCTTGTTAGCACTGGAAGACACAATCTGGCAAGCTCCCAAGCTGTGCTTGTTACAGTGATCCTGTTTAGTCAGTCAAGCATTGGGGGCTTTCACGCTCCCTTCTCCACCTTCATGTTCTTGCCATCTCTTCAGAGAGAAAGCAAAGGCTGCCCATGCTCTTATCTTAAGTTTACTTATGGGACTAAGGCTCAATTAGGTGCATCCAGGAACCTCCTAAGAATAGGAATAAATTGCCTTGGTAATCCCCAGTAACTGCGTTCAAAGTGATACTCCACTCATGGGGTGTAGGAGCATCTGTGTGAATTATAGTTCTGTATCACCCAACAGTACATTCCACCTGTCTCTCTCCCAGCATCAGTCATTAGACAGGCCAACCAAAACAGCTTCTGTGCCAAGACCAGACATGCAGCCTAACTGATGTGTGAAGGCTGCTTGGGAAGACCAGGGCTGAACTCAGGCACCTCTCTACAACAGCCAGCCTGTGCTAGGTGGCTTATCGCACGCCTCCACAAAAGGGAAAGCCAGCTTGTTTTAAGTACTGTGCAAGCCACTGCAAATGACTCTTATTCCACGTTTGGATGGTCCTTCTATTTCTCCCACTGTCCACCCCAGAAGGGCCTGGGACAAAAACCTCTTTTATTCTTGCCTTGCAGACAGAAACCCAGGCTGGCTTAGCCAAGTCCCCTTCTGGAAGTGTCCTCCTCACTCCCCAGCCGAAACGGGACCAGTGCAATATGCAGACTCCTCTCTTGGCGAGATCGGAGGAGGCTTGAAAGCAGGTGTGCAACAAGGATGCCCATGTGGGGATCCCACGCCAAGCCACACAGACGAGCCTCTGCTCCCCTCCCTCCCTTCCCAGCCCCGTGGAATGAGCACTTACTCTCATGTTCCTCCTGCACCACAACGTTCACGCGGTCAACACATGACTGGATGTCATTCCACGTGATGAATTCTGTTCCTTCAGCCCGTGCCTGAGCCTTCAGCTTCAGCAAGTCATCGATGTATCTGCCGTGGCCAAAAGACAAAATGTCAGCTCAAGGAGCCACAAGCAGAAACAACAAAACACAACCAGGTGCAATGGAGGAACAGAAAATAGCTCTGCTTGCAAGAAGGACTTGACCATGAGAGAGATCAAGAGGGGCTCGGAGACCAGACAGCCTGTGCTGGCTTGGGTAAGGTGTCCTGGTAACGTTCGGCCAGGTAGAGGGTAACTTGTAAGTATCATAAATGAATGAATGCAATGTTATAATAATAATAATAATAATAATAAAAATTAGATAATCTACCCCGAGTACAACGATGGCTGGCAGAATGCCACACAGCACCCCCCACCCCACCCCACGGCTGGCAAAGGGCAGAGCCTCACCCACCTCTTTCCCCAGACCCCACACAAATCAGCATCGTGCCTGAGCACCCCATTGCTGCTCCCCAGAGATCCTGCAGAAGAGGAGGACTTCCTGCAGGGGCACAGGGCCTCTGGCCCCACCGTCATGATTTTCCTGGAAGCAAGCTGCTTCTCAGGGAGGGGAAAGGCTGCCGGGGCAAAGGAGGCTCCAGCCTCTCCACAGGAACCAACCTCTGGGAATTTTCATCCTCAACATTTGTCAGGCCAGTCACTGGGCTGCTCAACTGCTTCCAGACCATGTTTATGTCCCCCGAGTCCAGAGCCCGGTTGATCAAGGCTACTGATGACAGCATCTCGACAGCCACAGAAAGCTCTGGATGTGTAAGGCTACCCTGGAAAGAGACAAAGGTATGAGGACCATTCTGGTTTCGCAGGGGAAAAAATAAATACCTAGAAGTGGGAATGAAGGAAGGGACAATAAGGAGGTCTCTGTGGAGAAGCATCGGGGTTATAATTAAAAAGCTCTGGCTATTTGGAGGTAAAGAAATGAAATTAATGATCATGTGAAGAATTATGGCAATCCTGTGAAATTCGTCAGGAACTTGAGAGAGGAGGAGGAGGACATATGAGATCAGAGCAGTGGCTTCCCAGGGTTTGGGGCAGGACCTTTCATTGCCCCGCTGCGTGCAGGGGCTCAAGACTGAACCTGGGACCGCTGGCTGGCCGAGCAGGGGCTTCACTGTGGCGTGACACACTGAGCCCCGCAGCAAGAAATCTCACCCAGAGTTCAGCAAGGGAGCCCAGCAGCACCCAGAGCACCCTGATCGGCCTTCCTCCAGTGCACGTGCAGCACAGGCCCCGGTTCCGCTAACGCAGGGCGGAAGGACGAAGAGGCTGCGAAGACGGCATGTGTTTGCGGCTGATGAAAGCGCCTTTCCAGGGCTACTTCACAGGCATCGAAGGCGCTGCTAACACTGAGTACACATGCAGCAGCCAACCCCAACTCCTTGGCACATGCACATGCAATTAAATGCACTCGGAAACGTGCACTTGGCATGCACCCCAGACATCTGAGAGCATGCTCCAAACATTCCTTGGGCTCACAGCTTTTCAAGACATGTCTGTAGCAACGGTCAGGAAGGCACTCACATCCGGGCTCTGCTGCTGCAGGGTGGCCAGCTCCCTCTGGTAGAGCTCTGCAGCAAAAGGGTAGACCGGGGGCAGCTGGGCCTCGGGGTTCATCAGCTCCACCACCGTCTTCTCAGACAGGCCGTTGCGGATGGCCGCATTGATCCTCCCCACAGCTGCCAGCTCTGCGAACGCAAGAGGCACAGAAGCTTCGCCTTCTCTGAGTCCCAAGCCCCAGGGCCTGCTTCGCCCCTGTAAGGGCCTGCACAGCGCAGATTCTTTCGCCCAGCCCAGGGGACGGTCAGGGGTGACACCTGTGCCACCTGCCAAGTGGCTGCTCACAGCAGCCGTTTCCCAAGCGGAGGGGGGCTTCTTTCAAATGGCAGAGGACTTGGTTGCATTTGTGATGCATGCAATGCAAGCACATCCCTGCACACCTCACCCTCCCAGAGACTGGCACGCAGAACGGAGTGGCATGACTGCTTCTCTCTGAGGGCTCAGGCAAAAAACATGCCTTCCACCCTGCTCCACCTTGGGGGAAATGGCAAAGCAGTCTTGCTGGGCCTGCTCAGTGGAACTCTGGGCCATGGGGGCACCTCTCCACATGGCAATCCTCACCCAGGGAGATGAGGGATGTTGCTCCACCTCCACCCCCCCTTTTGCTGCTCCCTGAGGCAAACCGCTGTGCCACAGGCACCTGAGCACAGGGAGGAACAGGGGAAGCGAAGGAGAAAGCCCTGTAGGCCGAAATGAAACAATCAAAGCTGGGAAATGAAGAAGAGATAAATATAAAAAGTCCCGTTCTGGAAGAAAACTAGAACTCCACAGGAGAGTGCTAGGCTAGTGTTCTCAGAGATGCTGGTCTCACAGCAGTCAGAAGAAAACGGTCCACAGTGCCTTGGAGAATGCAGGAGAACTCCTCACTCCCAAGCTGAGGCACAAGGAGGTTTTGGAACTTTTCTCACAGTGCAGAACACATACTTACTCTGCTCGTATTGCTGGGCCGCACCGTTGGCCAAGTCCACACCAGCCTGCAGCTCCTCCTTTTGCAAGGGCCCGCCTTTGCCAACCTGAGGGCGAAAGAAAGCACTGCTTTTCCCTGTCCTCAAAGGAGCCAGAGTCTACTTTTGGTCTGCTCTGTCCCTCTTACTCTAAAGTAGGAGCCAGGCTATGTGGATGGCTATACTGGGTGAAACACTGAAGCGGCATGTTTGGGCTGGAACATACTTGACTAATGTTTGCAGGTGTAGCGCGAGCCAAACCAGAAAGGTGGCCCCGGACACTTGGAGCCAGAAATGGAGGCAAGACTGCACTGATCAGATGACTACACAGCCACTTCTGCTGCCCACCAAACTGCAACTTATGCTGATCTAGAGGCAGGACCGTTCACAGTAGACAGTCTGAATTGCGTACCTCACATTTTGAACATCTGGCATGACTGGTCTTGGTCAGAACCATGTCAAAGGGTTCATTTGCCAATGGACAGGGCATTGCAGGTCGTCTCCCATACCTCCTGCTTTTGCTGCTTTTCCCTCAGAAGCTGCTTGAAATACCAGTCGCTGTTCTCACGCCGCAGCCCGCGGAGCCCCAGTGCTGCAGAGGACAAGGCTTCATACAGAGCTGCCGCATCTCCTTGATCCAGAACCAGATCGATCTTGGATAAGGCTGAATGTGCTAATGAGAAAAGAAGGGAAGCTGACCTGAGTGGTGGCTGCCTTGTGGACAACTTCCTTCTCCCCACTGTCAGAAGTGGGGATGACATAAGAGCCCCCCAGCTCTGCCTGCATCTTGGTTCCACCTCCTAAATGCTGGAAAATACTTCAGAAGAGGACGGGGGCGGGGGGGTGAGGAGTGACAGGATCACAGCTGACACACAGACACTGGAGGCACAGCCAGGTTGCTCGCCTGCAGCTGACATTCTTGAAGTGGTCACCTGTGCAGCACACAGATGGGCTCTGCACCTGCGCAGGGCTTGTAGCCAGGAAAAATCTTCCTAGCCATGCTCGCTTTGGTGGGAGCCACGCCCCTTCTTCCCCCTGTATATAAGGCTGGGACTGGAATGGCTGGCAGAGCCCCAGCAGCTGCCAATGGGGTGCCAGAGAATGAGTCGCCTGGGAAGCTGGGCGTTCAGGAGCAGTTGTGGGGACTGACTGCATGGCCATTAAGGCGTGGCTCCACATTTCAGTCTTCAGGCATCCAGCCTAATTTGTGCGTGCCTGCCGGGCAAATGCAAATGCCTGGTGTGGGGGGGCAACAATCCACTCTGTGCTCTTCACCCAAACAGAGCAGGAGTAATGAATGCCCATCGATCGGTACACCGCAGCACACACATTTAGGAATGCCCCCTCAAGGACCACCAGAGGGGAGGGAGAAAGGAGGCAGACAGCCAAAAAGATAAATCTGAGGCACTATCAGAAACCTTTCAAGGAGCTGCAGAGGGACAAGAATTAACAGGACAGCCACCTTCAGGGCTGTCACATAAACAACACACATTCTCTTTGGACTGTGACTCTCTCCACATTCAGGAAGGAGATCAAGACGCCTCTTTCAGAGCTGGCTTTTTAAAGTCAGCAGGAGTGGCACAGGGCATGCTGTGGCAAGCTCTTGAGCCCACCAGCCTGACCTGCTCTCTTACTGAGCCTCAAGAGAGTGCGACAGAACAGAATGGGACGGGACAGGACAGCAACCTCAAGAGAGCTCGCCACAATCATCCCCTTGCCCTCACCATGAACTGGACTGGGGGTGAATGAGGGGGCTCCGAGCCCTCTGTGAGCAGCGAAATAAACTCAAGAGCGTCATGCGCCTGGCAAGCCTCAGTTTAGCCACCCCCACACTGGGGGAGGAAGGGGTGCAGCACCAGCCAGAACAAGCTTAGCTAGAAAAATCTTTCCCAACAGCCAGCCCTGCATGGGCTCAGGGCCATATGCATGATGCACAGAGACCACAGGGGAGAATTAAGGCTCCCAGCCTCCAAAAGTCTGCTGCCCCTCCCAGACAATCTTCAGTTCAGCTTCAGTGAGCAGACTGACCCATGCTCAGAGGCAATCTGAGTGCACAGCGATGCAGGCCAGGAAGCCGGGGGAGGCATGAGCTACCCCAAAGAGGTCCGCCTGGCACCGTCGTTACTGGTTTTTCGGCGCCAGGTAAAGACCTTTTTATTTAAACATCATTTCAATTGTTAAAACATATGATCTGGCCAGGGCAACTTCTTCTTCCTTCTCTTTCTCCCCCTATATTTTTATTATATACTAATAATTTTAATTTTATATTTGTAAATCAATGTATTTTTTGTATTTTTATATTTAATGGTAATTTATTATGTACTATTGTATTTCAATGTATTTTATCATGTTGTAAGCCGCCCCGAGGTTTCGGCAAGGGGCGGCATAGAAATGTTATAATAATAATAATAATAATAATAATAATAATAATAATAATACCCCTCCCAAGGGTCTCCAGATCAAGGAATGGTGGCAGGGAAACTCACTGTTCACTTTGTTGACGTTGCCTTGAATCTCCGCTTGAGTCAGCAGCTCTTCATACACATCCCTTTCTCTTTCCATTTCTTCAGAGGCAACCTAGAAGCGAAAACACACCCCCTAGAAGTGCCTTTTAGAGCTGTCCAGCAGACCAAGATGCCCAGTACTGGAGAGCCGACAGTGCTCTAGCAGAGGACCTGAACAGGCTGTGGTTGCACTAGGGGCTCTTGGAGCTACCGCTAAAGCTGTGAGGTCCTTTCTTCCCCCTCCTCTCCATATGTGTTGCCGCATGGAAACCCAGCTGTGAAATGGAACTCCCCGGGAGGGCTAAGAGGGAGCCAAGGGAGATGCACGTCAAGACTTCCCAGCCACAGAAGCGAAGCTCCGCATGGAGGAAAGCCTCTGAATGGCTAGCGCTCCAAATCTCATTTAAAACAACAGCCGGCACTATTCATTTAATGATTTGGTCACACCTTCCTGACTGGCTTGAACTTTATGGGGGGAAAAGCTGTGTACAAACGTTATAAATAAATTCTCAAGAAGAAGAAAAAAAATCAGATGTTGCCCGTTTTACTTCCAAGACATGGGAGTCTGTCCTCTCCTTGCTTCAGTAAGACACGCGCGCGTGCGCACACACACGCAGGATGGCAGGTCCCAGGACTTCAGGAATTGCTGCATGGAAAAGGCTCCAAGAGCTGCAGGCACCAGAAGTACCACGCGGCTGCTGAACTGTATGTGGTAGGCATGTCCTGTTTTCCACCTCTTCTGCCCCACGAGGCTGACCTGTTCCCTGCTGCTCTGCGGCAAAGCATGACCTTCACCCAGGGTAAGCTCTCCCTCCCAAGCCAGAGGCCCAGGCACCCCCGCCCGAAAATGAAGCATGAGTGAGAAGGAACAGCACCGCTAACCCTGTTTCGAGCGCTTTCCATCTTGTCCTGCTTGGCCTGATACAAGGTGCCCTGATACACCGGGGCCAGGAACTCATCGAGGTTCACCAACATGGCGTTGGGGTTCTTCATTGCTGCAAAGGTTTCTGCAGGAACCTGGTGGTCGATGGCTTCGTTAATGGCAATCACTGCTGCATGGACTGGACCGGGGAACACAAGGCAAAAACTGCATCAGGCGCAGTCCGGCCCAGGCACCACCCTGGCAGTTCCTGTTCCACCACAGCCCAGGCACAGGCAAAGACACTTCTCAGCCACAGTCACAGAAGCACTGATCTGCCAGCTCCAGCCCACCAAGTGTGGGCCTCTTCTTTTGCACAGCACAGGCTGACAGACAAGAACCCTGTGGCACGTTTCTCCACGGTAAGCACATGTCTGGATCATAAAACCAATGCCTGAGTCAGACAAGAAGGGCCAAGTGATCACTTTGTTGTGGGATGGGCAATTCCTGAGGTTTATAGGCCAAATACTTTCAAATTTCACTCTATTGGGTTTTTTTAATGTTTTCATACAAACATTTTCTCTAGTTTGGTAGATCTGATTAATCACTCAGTAAAAAAAGTGAAATTTCTCTTCTCTTACGTGCTGCTTCATCCACAGACAGCTCATTGGCCAAAATACCACCAATCTTGCTGAAGGCAGGCATCTGGATTCCGTACTTCTCCAGCTCACTCCTCATGTTACTGATCTCCTCCTCTGAAACACATGGCAGAGGACAAGCAAGTGAGACCTGGATGCCAATTCCCCTCCTGAGAATACTGAGAAAGGCAGGCAACTAAGGAGTTAAAGGGACACAGGATTTGACCCCTCTGCCATTCAAGTGGAAGATCTTCAGGTTCGTGGGGCCTCTCCACCAGCACTGGAGTGAAAACACAGGAACACATTTGTTCTAGAGAGACCATGTTTGTTCCTGGGCTGGGCTTGTCTTTTGGTAGGGAGCAAAGACAAGCACTATTATCTGGCTCCAGCCAGGAAGGAGGTTTCCTAATAAACATCCTTGCCCTGTCTTCTCCATGGCCCTTCCAAACAAGCTGGCAGGTAGAAAAGAAAGAAGAATGGCAGGCACCCCGCTCACCTGTGAAATCCACTTTGCCATACAGGTCCTGAATCTGGGGAGCCAGTCCCAACTTGAACAGGTACAAACTGAGAAAAGACAGGGGAACAGCAAACAAGCTCAGCATTCTCCCGGGTACCAAAAAGCCTTCTCTTTGTGCTAGAAGTAGGAGCAGGGAAACTCAGCCTCCTAGGCCCAAGCCAGCCTTCCAGAGATCCCCAAAGATCCATGTCCCTTGCCTCCTAAACCCAACTGTTCAGCCGTTTCCTGATTTTTGTGAAGTCCCTTCCCTCAAGTGATCTTCACTCAGTCCCCTTTGCCCTTGGCCCCAATTCCTTTGCCCCACCCATAACTGAATTGTGGCACCAGCAAAATTCTCTGCAATTAGATCTGGTGTTTGGACTGGAGACTCCCTGCCGAGAGTAACGGAGGCCGCTGTGTGCACACTTTGGGAGGACTGCATACACCCACCTTGACTTGTCTGGAAAGCAGCACATAAGTACTCATCAGACAGCATCAGTTTGTCTCACTAACCCCTCGAGTGAGATTACCTAAGTGCATGAATGCAATAGATGCAGCGTGGCATGTTCTTCCGGTCATAGATGTCTGTTGTCTCAGGATAAAAGATCTGAATGGAAAACCAAACAAAATATACTGAGTCCCCTCTGGACCTCACAGGAAAAATCAGGATATGTGATGCTCACATCCCTTGTTCAACATGTGTGCTAAGCCCTTCTTGGCGCTTAAGGGAGGGGGCAGGGAAGTCAGGAAACACTTGGTGCCGCAAGAAGGAAGCCCCCAGAAGGGAGGCAAACAAAGACTTTACCAGGCACTGGAAAAGTGTAACAGTTCAGTTTGGGGGGAACATGTGAAGACACTTTTTAGCTGAATCACAGATTTGCAGCCCTCTTCTCAAAGTATGCTGTAGTCTACCTTGTACCATTCTTAAACAAGGGCCTGAAGTGGATGGTACTCAGGAGGAAATGGACTACATGCATTCCAGTTTGATTTCTGGCCTTGGTTTGGGAAAGAAACTGACTTGAGTTACTTTAGCAGATGACTTGTGCTGGGCGTACGATTGCAAAGAATGCAGCCCTGTTGGTTCTCCTGGACTTCAGCAGCTTTTGGTATTAGGGTGGGAAGAGAGAAACAGTTCTTAAATCAAAGCACTCTGGGAGCACAACCCACCACAGTGTGGCAGTGTGAATCTTGTGAGTACTGAAGAAATCAAGTGTCTCTCCGGCTTCTGTTCCTACAACTGCCACACGCAGTCAAGCTAAGTCAAGCTAAGCTTACCTTGGGAAGGCCAATTTCTGCCATGGCATTTAGCCACTGGATCACATTGTCAGTATGCCGGAAGTGGAGGCCTGTGGCCTGAAAAGAGAGGGAATGGTGTGAAGGGATACAAAGAACCTGCATGGGCCTTTACACAGCTTTCTTGTTCAGCAAAGTCTTCCATGACCCAGTAGAAGGCTGATTTTTATTGTTACTAAGCTAACAGAAACAGAGGGCACTTATACTCCACCTTTCTTCCCCTTGCAAAGAATCTAAAGTTGCCTGCAAGGTTCTTCTTGTCTCCATTTTAAACTCATGATAATATCCCTGTGAGGCAGTTACACAGAGAGTGGGCAAGTGCCCCAAAATCACCCAGTGAGCTTCATGGCCAAGAGGCGACTAGAACCCAGGTCTCCCAACTCCCAGGCCAACACGCCAACGCCTGTGTCTCACCAGCTATCGTGTATTCACTCCTGCAATGTGTGCATGCCTTGCTATCGACAGATATGGCACAGTGATGCTGGCAGCAAGGTCCATTGGAGGAAGACCAACTATACATTTTTAGTGAAATAACTGTTCATTATGGCTTAACAATTGAAACCATCTCTAATTTATCGTTGGCCACATTATTTGCAGTATTACTTATTATCCTTCTGTCAAAATGTCTTAAGTCATCAGAGCAGGAAATGCTCCCTTACCTTGTATCTGGTCTGCTCCCTGTCGTAGATCTTCTTGAGAGATACCACTTTTGGGGAGAAGAAGTTTCCAAGTTTGGCCAGATAGACCCCATTCCTGAGCCCCTCTTCCAGCTCTGTTGTAGGGGGCAGCTCTTCATTTAGGCAAGCCTCAATCCACCTGAAAATAAAGGGCAAATATGAGAGGGGAATGGGGAGAGCACCTCCAGAGTAATTAAACTTCAAGTTCCATTTACTAATCTAAACACATGTACATACGTCATTTCACTATTTAATGGCTAGGCTGGCTTTTGAAGAATTACTAAAACAACATGTTGGAGAAACACAAAACAAGCAGCAGGACCAAGAACAGAGGATCCAGACCATTAGAAGCAAGAGCTCCCCCTATTCTGTGCTGCAACAGATATATTAATAACTGGGACTTGTGGGTCCAAACACGTAAGACCAGCTCTGGCCCACTTTCACTGGCTCCTTGTATGCTTCTGGGCCCAGTGCAAGGTGCTGGTTTAACCTATACACAGCCAGGGACTGTAATACCTGCCAGAGTGACTCTCCTCACCATAATCTACTCAGATATTACACTCAACTTTTGGGCCCTTCTTCTGAGGGGGAAAGGGGTGGGACTTTCTCTGTGGTGGCCCCTCATCTATGGAACACCCTTCCCATTGTGGCCTGCCTGGCCCAAATTCATGATCATTTTGGTGCCAGGTCAAGGCAACCCATTATGCTGAGGCCTTTAAAGATTTACTTGGCTGCATAGGGGCTTAAGGGGATTACCTACCCCAGGTGTTTTTCTTATTGCAGGATCTTTTTACTGTATGTTTTAGCTGTTTTAAATTTACTCAGTGTTCTTATTTTTATATTGTATTGTTTTGTTCTTATGTATTGTTGCAAACTGCCCCCAGAGTTTTGTCTACAGAGTGGTACAGAAATGAACTAAGCAGAAACAGCAGCAAAAGCTAGGGAAAAATCAAGCAGGAGCAAAAGGGGTACTCTCCTTGCCTCTTCCAACAAAGGTCATCCCACCACACAGCCAAGGGCTTCTTTCCAAAAGCAGACCTGATCCCTGACTGAAAGATGATTCAGAAACTCTGATTCATATATTTGCATTATTTTTATGCCACTTTTCCTCAAGTCTGTGAACAGCAAATCAAATAAAACAGAATACACACATTAAAAAATAGAACTTTGAGAGAACATGAAAGCCACTAAAACAATTATGAAAAAATGGAAGATTAGAGATGACTTTGAAATGAAAGATGCATTTCAAGTCATCTTCTAAAGACAGAAAGGCCAGGGCAAAGCCCAGTCATTGAGGGAGCACATTCTGCAGTTTGGGCTGATAACAGAAGTGAGCATTTTCGGTCTCTGTGGATTATCACATTCTGTGCTGAGCTGCAATAAGTCCCCCTCAGCCTCTGCATATCCCAGCAGAGAGCCTGAGTGAAGTGGTTCTGGGTGTTCCATGTTGCCCAAGAACACCTGGACCAGCTGCTTAAGCACCTTGCAGGCCCATGACAAGCTGCACACCTTTGAGCACTTTGCCTATATCCCGAGGCTTCAGCAACTGGAAATCATCCCATAAAGCGCAGTTGGAAGGTACCCTGGACCCTGACTGAGCTGCAGAAATCCCCGTATTTGAGGAGGGGGGGTTACTGCCATGACCAGCTGCTGAATATTGTGAGGACAGCCCCCAACCCTCCCCTTCTTTCCTAGATCCTGTTCAGAAGCAGTCCTGGCGTGCACCAGGCTCTTTTTCAATGCACAACGTTCCAAAATGAAACAGCTTGTTCTGGCAGCTACCACAGCCCCTTGTGCAACAACTTCCTTCTGACTGCACAGCAAAAGGAAACCCTAAGGAGGAAACCCCACACAGTGACTCAGGGAGCAGCCACTTTTCTGCCTTCGAGGTGGGGCAGCTTTGGCAAGGCCCTGGAAGGCTGAGCCAGTAGCAACGGTGCCTCAACTCATACTGCTCCGGAGCCTTGCCGCTTTCTCCTGCTCAGCTGCTGGCCCGCATCCCAGCCAGCATCCCACTTATCGCTGGGGAAAGCAGCCCCCTCGGGGATTTATATCCAGCTGAAGCGCCACATTCCCATCCTGCATGTTGCCACAGGGAAGAACTTCTTCCAGTGCAGAAATTTTCCATGCTTTATTTTCCATGCTTTATTTTTCCAGTGGAAGATGTTATGTTTGTATGCTGCATTCATCAGTTCAGAGAAGGGATGCCAGCTACAAATCAAGTATGAGGCAAGCCTGGAAGTTTCAAAGCCCTATTTAATGTTTTGCATGCACTTATCTTTAGCAAGTATAAAAAAGAATCCAGCCTGTCAGTGAAATATATAAACTCCATGTGAAATGGAGCTAATAAGCAGTGTCAGTAAAACTGAAAGTGCCTCACAACGCTTAGAGCAGCGGTCCTCAGACTTTTTTGGGTGGCCACCCCTCACACCCCCGTCCCTTTCTCTGTGTTAGAGGTGCCAGAGTCATTGTACCTTAGGGCAGTTAATCAATACCTGTTGCTTGCCCAGCTTCTCTCTCCCCCTCTTGCCTCCGCTCTCATCAGGGAACCAGGAGGGGGGTGCGCAGTGGATAGTGGCTTGCAGGGCTGCAGGGTCCTTGGCAGTTCTATTTGGCAAACTTTTGCCTCTTTGCTCTCTGCTTCCTTTGCAGTAGTGATCTCTACTCACCTAACCCCGCTGCTACCCCCTTCTTCCTCACTGCCCCCGGATCTTTCCTCCCACTTTGGGAATCACTGCCTTAGAGGAAATCAGCTGAACTCTCCTAAAACAGATGAGTTGCTGCCACTGTATCATGTACAGTTCTTTGAGTTGCTAACACCTATTAGTGTGTCAACAGTTTGCTCCCTCCCCCTTAAATTTACACAACATTGTCTTTAAATGACTACAAGTATCCCAACAATGTTTATAGGTAATATACATTCTAAATCACACCAGGGTGCAATCCTATGTATGTTTTCAGAGGAAAATATCCTAACCCTCCCAGCATTCTGGAGGCAAGAGATTTGTCCCAGACCACAGAGAAAGAACAGGTATCATGAACTAGAAATGGCTCAGTAATACCAAATGGAGGGGCTGCCCTTAACCACTGGCTGCCCCCTTGCCAAGCATCAGCCTGTGCTGCAGCCCTTGCAGCAAGACAGGGGTCTTGGTGGCCGACTTCTCTCCATCTCTGAATGTGCCTACAGGGACTCACAGTGGAGTACCGTTGGTACTGAAATCCTAAAGTGCTGAGTCTGCCCCAGGAAATTTTGAGGAAGGTAATGGATCCTGCAGCTGTGCCGGGGCACTGCGCCCAGTTCCTTGCACCCACGGCAATCCGCATGACACAGTCATCCTCCTGCTTGGTTTTGGGACACAGCACTCAGGGTGACAGCTCCTTGCACCCCGAATCTTGCACAGCCCTTCTGTCCTTACCACTGAATGTTGTGGTAAGGAAAAAGTTGGCAGAAACTGTGGGAAAGCACAGGTGGGTTCTGAAAGGAGGAGTCGCCTGGATCCCCACTGTGAGGCAGGTCTGTACTGGAGGCACGGTGATGACATCCAGGGGCATCGGAAAAAGGAATCCAGCACCTGACAGACAAGCCAGAAGGGGAAGTTCTTTTCCAAGTGCAAAAGCATCATTTCTCAGAAATGAGCATAAAAGTAAGGTTGCTCAGTTCTAACCCTTCCTCCTACACCCACCGCGAGTAACTTTCCAATGCAAAGCTCAGACTTGCAATGCTACCAAATTTAAAAGATGACATCACCCCGACTACACCCAGAGCCTCTGTGGCATGTGATTTGCTTGCACCAGGGACTAAGCTGATCCCAGGAAAGCCCAGGCAGGACGCTGCCTTTGGCTCCTCTGACTCTCCAGCAGGCCCTCTCTGGATCCAGCGGCCAGACAAACTCATGAAGAGGCGCCTGCCCTTGGCACACTACAGTCCAATCCCAAACAGAGCAACAGCCTTTCTCAGATGCTTCGCTCGGCCTCCACAAGCTGTATCTTCACCAGTTGTTAAGCACACCTGAACTCCTACCAGAGCTCCAAATGTTGTCCACTACTCAAAGCAATATTACAACAAACAGCAGGACATTGTGCACAAAGGAGTGGAGCATCCAGGAAGAATTCCAGAGCCGAAGGGCACCAACAGCACAGGCAAACCCTCGGAGGTGCAGAGGCAGATGGTCACCCAGGAGTGAGGCAGCCGATACAGAAAGGAGCAAGGGCCCTTCAAAGAACATAGCGCATCAACTGTGCAGGACCTTGAAGCCCACAACTTCAATCTCAAATTGGTCAGGAAGGGAACAAACTTCCCAAACCATCACATTCCTTACAAGAAGGGAGAACTAAGAGCTAGACATAGAAAAAGAGTTTGTCAGCTGCCCAAGAAAAAATCCCATTCCTGAAAACTGCTGAGGTGCTTCCTGCAATAATCAGCAGCTTGGAAAGAAATGAACATATTTCTAACCTAACCTGAATCACACAGGGAAGCAACTTATCAGTAACAGCAATTCACAGCATCATAAAATAAAAAGCTGCAAACTGAGAGCTGCTTCAGAGAATGCAAGGAGGAGAGAAAACCATCCCAGTGCAGCCGGGACAAAGCGGTAATGGAATGAGTTTCCTCTGAAGGGCAAGGAGAAAACAAACCTGCCTAACCAGTTAGGCTTCCCTCTCAACAGCTCTCCCATTTCAAAAAATTAAAAGCTAGCTGGGGCAAGAAATGGAATGGGAAGAGCTCCAGAAGGACTGAAGGAACAGAAGCATCCAGGCCCCGGAAGGGGCTCTGGGAGGAGGCTGCCTCTTTCGTCCTACTCAGAGGCTTCTCGCGGTTTCCAGTAGCACCACCAGCACCCTGCGTCTTCAGGGAGCCAGGCAGAAGCAGGCTCAGAGGCAAGGGCAGCTCTGTGTTGCCATTCCAGCCAGCACGGGGACACCTCCGAAACTGACCCCCCAATGCAACTGGGACCTACCATGCTGCAGCAGAAAGGCCATGCAGCTCAGCCAGCTCACCAGCCAGCACATGCCTCCTGGTCCCTTTTCTAGACTGCTGCCCCAACCAGAACCCCACCTGCACCCATCGCCACAACTGCTCCTGGCCCGTCTGATTTTTGTCCACCTGCCCCCAAACTCAATCTCAGCTGCAGCTCACTT